ACACCATACTCAGATTTGCATTTGACAAATCCTAATTTGACTAAGTATGAGTCGATCTTCTTGTTCTATGCCCTAGGTGCCTGCTTGAGGCCATAGAGCGCTTTGTGCAATCTATATACTTTACTCCTTCCTTCTGAATCACAAACCCAAGAGGTTGTGTGACATAAACTTCTTCGTCTAAAGGACCATTCATAAATGTTGATTTCACATCTAGATGGAATGTTGACCAACATTGGTTGCATGTCAATGCTACTACTAGCCGAACAATCTCTAATCTTGCTACTGGAGAAAATACTTCAGAGTAGTCAAGTCCTGCTCTTTGAAGAAAACCTTGATCTACTAATCTTGCTTTATGTCTTGCTATTGACCCATCTGCATTATGTTTCAACTTGAACACCCACTTTACTTCGATAGCTTTTGCATATGCTGGCAATTCAAATAACTCCCATGTGTTATTTTTTTCGATTGCTTGTAACTCTTCGACCATAGATAACTTTCACTTGTTAATCTTTAAAGCTTCTCTATAGTTGATTGGTTCAGCACCTGCAAGTAAAGCAAAATGAACTAATTCTCCATCTGGTGTGACTCATCATCACCCACCACTTCATAATCATGAAGTCTTGTTGGAAGAACTCTATTTCTTTGAGGTCTTTGGCTTGTTTCAGCCACAACCTCTTCGACTTTGACTGTGACAGGAGTGTCAGCAACCGCTTCTTCTTCAACTTCGACTAGATTCTCAATAATTCCTTCGACCTCTACTTCATTAGTTTCTTCGTCAAAATCAAAGTTCATTAATGATTTGTTAATTGAATTGCTAGAATTCTAATCCCAGACAGAATTTTCATTAATCACAATATCTCGACTCAACACAATCTTCTCATTAACTAGATTGAATAATTTGTATGCATCAGTTTTATGATATCCTACCAGGATCATAGATTCACTCTTGTCATCAAGCTTCCTTCTCCTTGCATCAGGAACATGCTTGTAACACATAGAGCCAAACACCTTCAAGTGACTTACTGATGGTCGTTTGCCACTCCACACTTCTTCAGGAACCTTGTTCTTCAATATCTTAGTAGGACACCTATTCAAAATATAAACTCCAGTCGAAACAACTTCTCCCCATAAATATTTTGGCAAATTCTTTTGCTTCAGCATGCATCTCGCGATATCTAATATGGTTTTATTTCTTCTTTCAGCAATTCTATTATGTTGAGGTGTGTAAGAAGCAGTTACCTCATGATCAACACCATGTTCTGCACAGAAATCTTCAAACATCTTGGATGTGTATTCGCCACCTCCATCTGTTCGCGGGACTTTGATCTTCTTCTCACTCTGGTTTTCAACAAGTATCTTGAATCTCTTAAAGATTTCGAATACTCCGTCCTTTCGTTTGATCACATAGATCCACAGCTTTCGACTAAACTCGTCAACAAATGAAACAAAATATCTGTTTCCACCAATTGTATGTTCTTTAAATGGATCACATACATCTGAATGCACCACTTCGAGAATGCAGGATGATCTCATTGACATAGTCGAAACAAAAGAATTTTTGGATTGCTTTCCCACTAAACAACCTTCACAAAGTTTTTCAGGCATCTCGAGACTTGGAATACCAGTAACCATATCTTAAGTAATCTGTTGATTAAGTGATCGAAAATTCAAATGTCCAAACCTCAAATTCCACAACCAACTATCCTTGTGGTCGACAACAGTTTTCAAACATTGAACTTCTGTCGAACTGATCATAGTATTAAATGTCATGTTCTTCGATAATGGAGATTTTAAAACCAAATTGTTCTTAGTGTCGAACAATTTCAAAACTCCATCTTTCATGACAACTGAAAAACCTTTTTCAACTAGTTGTCCAACACTTAACAAGTTGCATTTTATTCCAGGTACATAGAGCACATATTTGATCATAGCTTTCCCTCAATTACTCATTTAAAAGACTATGTTGTCAGTACCTTCTGCTTGCAACGAACTATTATTAGTAAGTTTTACCTTGCTCTTCTTCGACTCGTCAAAATCTGCCAACCACTCCTTTCAACCAGTCATGTGGTTTGAGCAGCCTGAGTCGAGAAACCAGATATTTGATTCAACATGGTTATCTGCAACTGCAGCCATAACCATCATACCACCTTCAGAATCATCTGAATCTTGGCATGCAAGGTTCGCTCCTTCGTCCTTGCCTTTTGATCCCTTGTCTTTTATGTACCAACAATTCTTGGCCAAGTGTCCCCACTTTTCATAGTTATAACACTGCATACCTTTCTTATCTTCTTTGTCCTTTCGATAGTTTTCTCTTTCCCTTTTCGAGAATTCAGAAGATCTATCTTCGACCTTATTCTTATGGGAATTCGACCAAGACTTCTTGCCATGAGTCTTATCGAACTTGCCTTTGAATTTGTTGGAAGCACCATCTTTTTTCCATGATTGAGCTTGCAGTGCCTGTCGAGTCCTGAACTTCTTTCCTTTCGACAATCCTCATCTCATGCGCCTCCAACGAACCAACCAAATCTTCCACTTTAGTGGTTTCAAGATTGTTGGATTCTCGAATAGCTACGATAACGTGATCAAAGTAAGAGGTCAATATTCTCATTACCTTCTCAACTATCATCTTATCAGTAATGGTTTCACGACAATCCTTCATGAGATGGACGAGTTTCTGAACCTTCGACACATATTCTGCAACTTTTTCATCTTCTCCCATCGAAAACAACTCATATTGTCGATGCAAGGTTTGTAATTTGACAACCTTGACTTTCTCACCTCCTTCGAAATACTTTACCAGAATATCCCATGCCTCCTTCGTTGTTTCAGCATGAGAGATTATGTCGAAGTTATCAGCATTGACAACCGTTTGAATGCAATAACCAGCCTTGCAATCTTTCTTCTTGACTTTGTTGTGGGCTTCTTTCTGTTTGTCGGTTGCATTTGCAGCCAACGCAGGAACGCCGTTGGTAACCACTTCTAGGGTTTCATGGAAGCCAAATAAGGATTACATCTGTTTTTTCCATCAGATCCATTTTTTCCCGTCAAGCATTGGAAGAGAATTTGGAATTCTCTTATCACTAGCCATCTTCGCAGCGGTTGATTTACTTGACCTAGAAAAATGATCTCTGACGTGAACTTCTTGAAAACTTGATCAAGAACAATAACCGGAAGCTCTGGATACCAATTTGTTAGTGCGTAAAGCACTTTTAGTGAGGAGAGAAAGAGAGAATAATAAAGAAAATAATGATTTGTATTATTCAATTGTACAAATAATGATACACACTATGACTATTTATATACAACCCTAATTGGGTTTGGGCTAACACAACTTGGATTATATTAAATATTAAATCTAATCAAATCAAATCTAATTTAATATTTCAACACAAATCACATTAATCATTTTCCAAATGAAATCATACGAGCAACATAGTATAAGGTGTATCTTAAAATTAACTTTCATATAATGGTATTTTCAGACATTTAGGATATCTTTGGAATAGTAACAAATGAGATTTTATTGTTTGGATTTACAAATAATAGATAAAATGGAATGAATCATGATGAAATCTATTTCATCTCATTTCATCTAATTTCTCTTTTTTTTTTGTTCCATCTAATTTGAGGTGCATGTGGTGGAATAAAATATTTTTAATAAAATAATCAAATAATGGAGTGAAATTTATATTCTATTTTGTTCCGCTCCATTAAGATCCTATGTTCCATTTCACGTCGCTCCATTATGTTTCATCAATTCAAACATAGTCTTAGGGTATCTTTGGATTGATGGAAATGAAATGAAATAAAGTGGAATGATATCATGTTTCATTGTTTGTCTTTATTAAAAATAAATGAAATAAAATAAAATGTGATGGAACTCATTTCATCCAATATCACTATATTAATATGTTTTTCATTCTATTAAAATTGAAGTGTATCAAATGAAATAGAATAATTAATAATACAATTACAATTCTGTCCTTTAAATTTTCACTTTCATTTATCATATTAATATTTTTGAAGTAAAGGATAAGAATGGAATAAAAAAATTATGATGTTTTCCACCCATCCAATTTCCAAATAATGGAATAAAATATTAGGTTCACTCCACCGTAAAATATCCAAATAATATAATAAAAATTTATGTTATGCTCTATTATGTTCAATTCAGTTCAGTTAATTTTTAATTATCCAAATAGACTCTTAAAGTTTTGGAGAAATTTTTAGAGTATAATAATTCTCTTAATTAAATAAGTGAGACTTAAACATTAAAAACTCGAAGATACTTAATAGGCCTCTCTCTATTTATTTGTTAAATGAAATATTTTTTGAAATAATTGACATCAAAATCTTTTTTCTAAGACAACAAAGCATTGCAAATTCTAAAGTAATTTAGAAATAAAGTCTATTGTTGTTATATACACATCTTATATATTTATGTATATACATTTTTTACAATTTCATATGTCTAAAGTAACAATAGTGTGTATATAAAATTGAATGTTTTTTCAAACATAAGTAACAATGGTGATGGTGTATATAGAAGAACATGTCCATGCGTGAATATAACAATTTTATAATGCAATTATTATTATAATAATTAATTAATTATTTAATTATAGTAATCATAGTTTTCCCACTCTTTTTGGCCTAAAGTTATTTAAGTATAACACAATTTTTTTGGCTCATTTGTCCATGTCCACTTGTCACAATCTATAAGACATACACAACATTAATAAAAAATATTTGATAATACAACATGAAATATTAGGTGTAGACAAGAAAATTTTTTATGCATTAAATTAACTTTCTATTCCTTAATCTCCATATTAGTTAAAGTACTATTGAAACCAAACATACACATTCAAATACTAAAATCACTAACTGAAATCAACAACAGAAACATCATAACAAAAGCTAGTAAAAGTTAATGACCGTAGCAGCCACTTTGATTGTTTGTTAGAACTCTTTCTCATCAATCCTTTGGAGAAACAATTTCAGTTGTAAGTATCCAAATCCATCTTCTTAAACTCCACTTTTTTGTTCTTGGACACATGTTGAAGAAGATCACAAACGTGCCTCGATGTTGGTCTATCCATTGGTGCAGTTTTGGTGCATTGTAAAGCTATCTCAAGCACTTGAAATGCTGCAAACTCTTCAATAGGTAAAAGCGGTTTTAGTTCGGGATCTATTAGTTCATCGCGCTCGGTCCCTTTCGAGTCGACGTGCCTCTCCACCCATCTCACCATGTCTATACCTGTTCTAAAAGCTTCATCTGTTGGCTTTTTGCCGCTCACAAGTTCCATAAGCACAATTCCCATGCTGTAAACATCGCTTTTCTCTGTCGCCTTTAACGAGTATCCAAACTCTAAAAAATAAGCAAATGTGAATCATAAGTGCTTATTTATAAATAGCTTAGTAAAGTGCTTGTAATATATAAGTTTTTATTATGATCGAGTTACCTGGAGCTATGTAACCATAAGAACCTGCAAAACAAGTAGATTCGGTATTAGTATCATGATTCTCTATGAGTGCTTTTGCTAATCCGAAATCTCCCAAGTGTGCATCCATGTTAGAATCTAACAATATATTGCTGGATTTGATGTCCCTGTGAATGAGCATTGGCACGCAATCATGATGAAGATACTCCATCCCTTGAGCTAACCCTAAAGCGATTTTGAACCTTGTTTCCCAATCAAGGTTTCTCTTTAACTTTAGTGCATTTCCATGTAACCAATCCCAAACGCTTCCGTTTTCCATGTACTCGTATATCAACAGATTACAACCATTTCCTTTGTTTCTATTGCTACAACAACCAACCAGTTTCACCAAGTGTCGATGCTTAATCCTGCCCAAAGTCTTTATTTCTCTTATGAAGCTTTTATGCAACAGATATTCGTCTTTCAATGAAATCTTCTTGACAGCCACAGTTTCGCCAGTAGGTAATTCAACTCTGTAGACAGTTCCAGAAGCTCCTGAACCGATTATGAATTCTTCGCTCAAATTGTTTGTAGCAGCCATGATGTCTTCCCACCTGAAATCTCGTTTTCCAGCTGTACTTACAGGGAACAACAGCCGTTTCTTTGCTTGTGACGTAGAAGAAGAGAAAACACCGGCTAATTCGCTATCTTTGTTCCAAAAATATTGCCTATTTCTCAAGAAGATTTTCACTGCAAGAATAAATATCACAATTGCAGCTAGTGTTGAAATCGCGGAGATTATGATCACAGCTGTCTCACTTAACCCTGCTAGCTTATTTGGGGAAGCACCACCGCGGTTGCAGCTACGGAAAGAGGCTCCACAGAGATGAAAGTTCCCTGCAAAAGCCTCATACGGCCAGCGTGAGAATCGCTTACCCAATGCACCTTGAAAATCATTATAAGAGATATCAAGCTTATCCAAGCTAATCATTTCACCAATGTTCGGAGGAACTTCGCCTGTGAGTTTGTTGTGAGACAAATCAAGTGCTTCTAATTTTGATAACGTACCGAGAGAAGAAGGAAGCTGACCCGAGAGATTATTGTTACTCAAATCCAAAGCAATTTGGAGATTTTGAAGATTTCCAATCTCATTTGGTATGTCACTACAAAAGACATTTCTGGATAGATTGAGCTCATAAAGATTTCCCAACTTCCCTATGGCACGAGGGATTGGTCCAGAAAAATTATTACGATCAAGTCTAAGGACATTAAGCGATTTGAGATCGCCGATACCATCAGGGAGACTTCCATTAAGAGAATTGTTATTTAAAGAAAGAACCAACAACGTCGGTAATTTGAATAGGCCTAGTGGAAAAGGCCCGGAAAATTGATTAAATGCAAGATTAAGCTTTCCTAAACTAGGCAAATTACCAAGCCACGACGGTACATGTCCAACAAGAAGGTTATTGCTTAAATCAACAGAGGACAGTTTATTACACAGAGATAGTTCACCTGGTATCGGCCCTGTGAGTGAATTCTCCGAGAGATCTAACAAAGACAGATCAACGATTTTTCCCAATGTCCTCGGAATTTCACCAGAAAACCTGTTACCTCCTAATCTTAGCCTCTTAAGTGACATAGAGTTACCCAAGTTTGAAGGAATTTCACCATCAAATTCATTACCTGTAACATCAAAAGAAAGAAAACCTCTAGAGCTGCACAATGGAGCTAAACTTCCATTCAATCTGTTCTTCGAGAGATTAACTCTTGTCAAGTTTGCTACATTTGCCATTTGACGAGGAATACCACCTTCAAGAGAGTTGTTGTAAAGCATGAACTGCTGCAAATCTTTCAAGTACCCGAATGTCGCAGGAATTCCACCAGAGAGGTTATTATCTGCCAAATCAAGCACATTCAGTTTATGACAGTTCCCAAGCGTAGCCGGAATCTCACCAACAAGCTCGTTCTGTCTAATGTGAAGAAAACTCAATTCTTTCAATCTTCCAATCGTAATTGGAATTCTTCCACCAAAACGGTTACCAAAGAAATCAACCATTTTCAAATTTGAGCAATTACCAATCTCATTGGGTATATTCCCCGAAAACTGATTATCATAAAGATACAAAATCTCCATCTTTCCAAGCATCCCAATCTCCTTAGGCAAAGCACCATGCAACTTGTTATGATACAATGCAAGTGTTTTCAAGTTTGTTAAGTTCCCTATGAAAGATGAAACCGAACCAATTAAACTATTGTTGTGAAGCAAAAGATCTGTTATGTTCACCAAACCATAAATCTCAAGAGGAATTGTTCCATTGAGAAAATTGTTGGATAAATCAATTTGCTTCAATGACTTGCATTGACTCAATTCAGATGGAATCTCACCATAAAGTTCACTCATTGAAATCAATAAATGCTCCAAATTTGTTGCATTGGAACATAAAGTTTTTGGAATTTTTCCACTTAAAGGGTTTTCGAAAAGAACTAAGAATTTCAACCGATGCATGTTACCAAATTCTTCTGGAATTCCTCCACTGAGTTTGTTCTTTGACAAGTCAAGATTTTGAAGGCTACCCATTTGAGATAAAGACGGTGGAATGTAACCCTCGAGCTTGTTTTCCGTTAAACTTAGATAATTAAGCTCGTTCAATTGACCGAGTTGACTCGGAATCTCCCCAGTTAAGGAATTGTTTGCAAGGTTGAGAATCTGGAGGCTTCTGAGCTGACCCAGTTGACTCGGGATTGTGCCGTTGAGTTTGTTGTCAGAAGCAGTGAAGCAGATGAGGCTTGAGCAGTTTCCTAACTCGGATGGAATCGGGCCTGTTAACTCGTTGTCTTGCAAGATCAAATTGTTCAACTCAGTGAGTCGACCAAGTTGATGCGGAATCGAACCGGTGAGTTTGCATGAAGCTAAACCAAGGACAACAAGGTTTACAAGATTCCCCAAAGAAGATGGAATTTCGCCAGTGAGTTTATTATCCCCGATTCGCAAAACTCGGAGACTCACTAACAAACCCAACTCGTTTGGAATCTGACCAGCGAGTTGGTTTGAATAAAGAAGCAAAGATTCTAATTTAGTGAGATTTGAGAGAGAAGGTGGAATGGGACCCACAAGATGATTAGCTGAAAGATCAAGGTGGAGTAGGTTTTGTAAAAGGCCGAGTGAAGATGAAACTGACCCAGTGAGTTTCGAGTCAGACAAGTTGAGTCCAACCACAACATGCAACAAGTCACATGAAACACCTCTCCAAGTACAATAATCAGTGTTTTCTTCCGACCAAGTTCCTAAAACATTTTCAGGGTCAGTCAGAAAAGAAGACTTAACCTCCAAAAGTACTTTTTTAGTGATGATCTCATTTTCACTAGAAAGAACAGAAGAGAAAAAACACAAAAGAAGTGAAAGTGTTGGTAATGTTTTCATTGTTGCTGTTGCCATTTTTTGAGTAGCATGAAAATTTAAAGTGAAGAGAAAAAGAGAGTTAATTGAGTTGGTTGAATACGGTGGTGGTGGTTGTTCTTGGATTGTGAGAAGAGAAGACGCGTGGTGGCAGAAAATTAAGAGGATTCATTGATTCATAGAATAGCACTGCTGCATGCATGCATTGGGAACTAGCCATATATACTTGTTGTGAAAGTAAGAGTGATTGGTTTATGATGCATGGAGTTGGAATGAGACTATTGGAGATGAAAAGAGGTGGTGGATGTAATGTTAATAAATGTGAAACCGATGAGTCTGAGTTTTTGAGAAAGTCAAAATGATGCAGTAATAAATATGAAAGAGAAACTAGTAAACAAGATTTTTGGGTGATTTCTTAGTACTATGAACAACTTGAAGGAAAGGAGACAGTTCGTTTTCCATTTTTAAATCATTTGGGATTCTGTTACTCTGTGATGTCTTTTGTTTCAAAAGAAGAAAATCTAAAAACATCTAAATCAATTACTCTGTTACTAACATTTTAAATATATTATATTTTTATAAATATTTTATTTGTTTTAAAATAATTGATTTAATTTATTAATTCATACAATAAATAAAAGTATATAAAGAATAATGGTAGGACTTGTAATGAAGTATGATCATAATTAGTTAAATAATATTTTTTTTTCCATTCTACTTACAAGTACATAATTAAGATTATATGAAAATAGTACACAAATAGAAAATAAGTTGCAACGCTTTTTTTTTTAATAGGAAAATTAATTATTTTAAAAATTATATTCATTAGACATTATTATAAGTAACTTTCATTTGTTTGATACATTTGATTATCAATGGATATGGCTTATATATCAATTAGATATATTAATAGTTAAATATATCAAAAAAAAAAGTTAAAGTTGCTTATAATAGTGTTCAGAGAGTATACATTCATTGTTTAAGGAGACACAATATTATTATGCATGAACGTTTGCACTATCAGTAAAAGACTCGTTGCTTCTGGTGTTGGAAAATAAAAAAAAATATCAAGGACAAATGTTATGAAGCATGTTAACTGTCGGAACACTCTTTCTTATGCTTGGTCACTTTACTTATAAGCAGTTTTTACTCCTCTTAGGTTGCACTTTCATGTTTACAAACCCTAATTTCTAAAAAGGAAAACCTACATTCGCTAGTTTCTTGATCGATTAAAAAGCTTTATGTCTTGCTCTAATTGATTGGTTAAGGGAAATAATCAATTAGGAAGTGTGTACACGCTTCCTAAATGTTTAGGAATATCCTTGAGCAATCTCACAAGCACCTTGATGGCCCGTCTATAGCCTATAATGTGTTTTAGAAAATTTAGAGAGGTTTCAAACACTTTTAGGTGAGTGAGTGCATTACCTTAGTAATTGAAGAATTGGTCAGATATCTTTACAATACTCTGATTACTTAGATACAAACTAGGCGAGCTTTCAAACTTTCTCTCTTTCACAATCTTTGAAGCTTCAATATCTCTTGCTTGATTCATTAATGATTCAACCATTCATATGGGACTTGACTTATTATAAGTGATGAGACTTCATAAGGATTTTTAGTAGACATCATTATCAGACAATGCTTAACTAGAGATCCTCATGGATTCCACCGAACACTGCTTGACATTAGATATTGTCTTTATTGAGATTGAATTTGATATCTTGATCACACAAGCAAACCATATTAATCATCTTAATCATAAGTTCAGATAAAGATTTAACATCACATTGTTGTCATAATCAAAACCATTGAGATCATTGATCGGTAAAATGACAAGTGTACTATTTTACTTCTGTAGTAATAACAGGGAAATTCCTCGAATGTCGATCTCAAGGAATACGCGTCAATATTGAGTTCCAAGAGTGGTTCGATTAAATAAAAACTAGAGTTTGGGTTTGATTTGCTAAAATTAAAATAATTGTGAATAAAGTAAATAGACGAGGTGAACAGTTTTGAGAGATATGAGTGACATGCTAGGGAAGGTATGTGATTCATTCATGTAACAAATCTGAATTAACATTGCAATAACATATTTTACACAATCAATTACAAATTCTTAAGGGTGTTTACTCCTAAGTCCTTAGTGAGAAGACATTTAATCATTCATCTTAAGCCATATGTCCATAAAAACTTACGATGAAATTAAGCATTATTAAATCAAGAATAATTCAGTTACTATATGATATCACTAGTCCTAGGTGATATATACTATATCATAATCTCATAAAAGAGTTAACAATGGAGGTCCAACCTAATTGATAATCATAAATCAAACCATATTTTTCCGACAGAGAAGGCACTGGAAACATTAAGAGATTAAAGCAATAATGAAAATCATTATGATTGCAAATATAAAATCAAGGTATTACAGAGTCAAATCAGAGACACCCTATAGCATTGAGGGGGGGGGGGGGGGGGGGTTAACTATGCATATTGTTCAAAAATAATTATAAGATAAAAATTAGACATTACAAGTATTTGGATAACTTCGATCTTGAATTGCTTCCGCTCGTGAAAATCTCCCTTCATCCAATGACCTTGGTCTCTCCAATCTTCGATCATGTAAAAATCCTTCGCTCTGTCAAAAGTCCCCTAAATCCTTTCCAAAACCCATCTAAATAGAAAACATTCACTCAGATCGATTAGAAATACCAAAAATGCCCCCACATCTCAACCCATGGATAAAATATATTAAAAAAATATGGAAATCAGCGTCACATGCTCACACGGGCCGTGTCAGCCAACACGGGCGCCTGTGTTGCTCTTATGTACTATCAAATGCTGATTTTTGGTCCTAGACATCCTAACACAGACAGTGTGAGCAGACACGAGCGCGAGTTTCAAACCTCTGATTTCTATTTTATAATTGTTGCTTGTTGTTGAAGCGGTAAAGCGGCAAGCAAAAGTAAGTATTTTTATAGGGTATACCATATCGTCTCCATAGAGATTAGTGCTACTGAATTGTCATTCAACAATTTCTCGTATTTATGAGTTTGGTTTTGAATGAGTTGTTTGTATGGAAAGGGTAAAAGTTATCAACAGAAAATAAATTTATTCTTCAGAGGAAGAACTTATCAGGCATGCATATATAATCCACTCATCACAGACTTAAACCCATCGACCAATTATACTCAACCTACAATACTCATCAATATCATCACATGTCAAACACAACACTCACTATAACATCTCACCAGCGATCTCTCAATCAACCTCAACAACACATAAGTCAACCGTGTTAATTGTGTCGACGATCTCTCAGCATGACATAATCAAACATAGAGGCATTAATCAGAGACACCCAAGTGAATAATAGCACTAAATCTATCTCTAGATCTAGACACTATTAGACAATTATCCTAGATAAGAGTTCAAGCAATATAGGTCTATAACAACCCAAAATCCCAAGCACAAAGCAAAAATCAAGGATAATAATCGACAAAGATTTGTAAAACAAGTTTTATACAACTCCATGAGCAACAAATATACATGAGTTAAAAGTAAATTAATATACAAACTCAACACATAATGAATACACACAAAAGAAGATAAATGAACCAAAAATTTGATTTGTCAGCACCGATTAAAGAGCAATCCACCCTAGATCATCTGTATGCAAGCTTCAATGTTGTTTTCTAAGCTAATCCTATAAAAAATGAAGGTTGATGGAGTTGGGATAAAAAATACCCAAAACCATCACCTAAAAAAATAAGTTTTTTCACTTAAATATGTATTTTCTGTCAGGTATGCATCGCCCGACGACCAAAAAGTATCGCCTGGCTCTTAAAAATTAATTTTTTTTCATGCTTCAGGTTGCCACAGTGTCGCCTGGCGAGCTCGCGACGACAGCCGACAGTAAGTTGAAAAACCAGCACAGTTTCAGCCATAACTTGAGAACCGTAACTCTGATTTACGCACGGTTTGAAGCGTTGAAAAGTTTATTCAATGCCCTTTTTAAAAACGACTAAATATAAATGATTAAATACCAATAAAAATGATATAAAAATAATTAGACTCAATGATATTTACACGATAACATAATATATACACTATAACGTAAACTATACGGAATATATATTAAAGTTGAGGTTTATTGATAAAACGCAAACAAATTAAGCCGATGAATGCTAATTATTCACACTCAAATTCACAATAATTTAGCACTCATCAAACTCTCCGCAACTTAAAACGTTGGTTGTCCTCAAACAACTTAAAGAAACAAAAGATGATAATCGAAGAATCACGAATCAACAGGTTTTAAAAATGGAAACAGATGTATGGTTCAAATAAAAAACGTACAATCAAAGTAAACACTTACCACTAAACTACAATGATAGCATGAAAATGAAATATCTCCTAAATACAAAACACATGTCAAAAATTCTAAAATAATACAATGTTTAAAAATGAATCACACCTAACACACAATTCATCGGTAGATGAATAACAAAAGCAACGGGGTGCTTTTACTCTCACCCAATAATCAAGTTAATAACAAGTTAAATTATGCACTCATCGAGAAAAACTCACAGTGAACAATATAAAAGAAAGAATCAAGAGGAATTTTCAAGGGTTGTAATTGGGCTCGGTTAACAAAGAAAGGTTGATCCTAAGGCTAACTAAACAAAATTTCCTAAATCGATGGGAGCATTTAATTGCACAAATTCAAACAATCAAAAATTATTTTTATTCATCCTCTCACTTTGCTCATTGGTACAACCTTGATTTTATTCACACGCTTTTTTCTTTTTCTTTCTCTTTTTCTTTTCTTTTCCTTTTTCACATTTTTTTCTTTTCTTTTTCTAACCACTAATTTTTTTCAACTACAAAGTAAATAATACATGAGCAACAAAACAAGTTCTCTCCCCAACTTGAATACAATCTAACATGAAGTGTGAATGCTCCTTAACTTTCTAAGGTAAGGAAAATAAAACAAACCACAAAGTAAAGTTGAAGGGTCAAGTGTTTCAAGAAACAAA